TTGGACAGAAAAGGCGAGCATGCGAAGCTCACACAACAGCCTGTGCTCTTGTTTCCCAAGCAGTGCCTGCACTTCGGGGTTCTCACTTGTCTTGTTGAGTCATTCGATGGGCTCCCGGGGGGGTTCGCCCGGTGCCCCCCGTGGGCGCCCAGAGGGTTCTCTGGGTGTGCGCCCGGTGCCCTCCCGTGGGCGCTTCGTGAGCGTCTCGTGCTGTCTGCCACGCAGCTTGCACCATGTGGTGGGCTTGCACCCCATAGCTTGCACCCTCCTCCTCCTCCTCCTCCTCCTCCTATTCCTCCTCCTCCTCCTCCTCCCTCCCTCCCTCCCTCCCTCCCTCCCTCCTCCCTCCCTCCCTCCCTCCCTGCACTACATAGCTTGCACCGTTTAGCTTTCACCGTGTAACTGACATCGCATACATGACACGAAGCTTGGACCACTAAGCTTGCACCGCAAATGTTGCACCACACAGCTTACGCCACATACTGTGGGCCATATACAGCACCACATAGCTCGGGATAGGGTTCGTTCAAGGATTAGGGTTAATGCCCACTAGCCCAAACTTGACGCCTGTTGGACGTGTCCCACCCACTCATGACCCAAGACATATGGATCTCAAAACGACGACGATACCGATGACGAAGACGACGATATTGATCTCAAACCGACGACGACGACAGTCGCACAAAGTGGCCTGGGAAGCCGCTGCAACGGCGATGCGGCACGCGCGCGCGACGACGCGATTTGAAGAACAACGTATATTCACGCGAGTCCTTGTGCGTCGCAGGGACGCCGCCCAGCGGCGGTGAGATTGCATGGAGTGGCTGCGCGACGAGCGCGGGATAGCTCGTCGCCTCGAGGAACCGGATCCCCAGTTCGCATCCTTAGCACTGCGGCGCGGTGCGCGAAGGCCGATGCAAAGGCGCTCGGAACACCACTCCTGGCACTCCGAGGGCAAAGATATCTGCGTCAGGGGTGCGCTGGAATGGGGGGGCGGCGGAAGGGGCGCCGTAAGGGCGGCATATGGCATTTTTAGGATCGAAGTATTTGTAGGCTCGCCCGCTCATGTGCACAGTGGTGAGCGGGTGGCCCGTGCTTCGTTTACACCTGCAGGAAGGCCTGCAGGTGCCTTGTCTTTCTCTGCCTAACTCGGGCGGAGATTAGCACAGCAGGTCGCCCTGCTGAAGCGTGCTGTGTCACCTGCCTCACAGCTCGTTGCTCATCAGGCAGTGAGGGCGTTGAGTCCCAAAAAAATCTGCTCTGATGCTAGGGTGTTTTCGCTGCTGATAAGCGTGCATGGCACACCGCGGATCACGCCGAGGCCTTCCCGTGGCGCGCCGGGCGCTAGCAGCTGTGCAGTTCAGCCTCGGCGTTTCCCTCCGTGTTTTTGGGCCTTGGGGCCAATCTTGTCTTCGGGATTTTTCTCTTTCCTTCCTGTCCCTCCACTACCACTTTTGCTCTCTCCTCCCGCGTGCTATCATTATGTTCTTGTTTGTCGCCATCTTCATGGCTTTTGCGCCCTCAGACTACAGCCCTGCGTGAAGCATCAGCCGAATTTTTTTGGGCAGCGCGACGCATTCAGCTCAGCCAGCGCATGTGCAGCATGATAGGGCCCAAGCAGTATCCTGTGAAGTGGTCTTCAATGTTGTTGCGCAGGCCCATCGTGGGTCTGGTCATAGGCACAAGTGCCCCGAGGGAATGGCAGGCGTTCTACTGTTATTTTGGTTGAGTTTCGAGTTCCCGAGGCCGCGAACTTTTTTTACCATGGTAGGCCTTGGAGCCCCCGCCGCCGCCGCGAGACAACGGTGGCGCTTACCACAGCCGGGCCCCCGGGAGAACCATACCAAGTTTTTTTTTTGTTCGCCCGGCAGGCCACGAGACATTCACCATGTCCGGCATTCTCATTTTTGGGGTGGCCAGGCCGCTTCCATCCACGGGTCCCAGGTGGCAGGGGCGACAGAGGGGGGGCAGCCGATGGTTGGAGTCGGGGCGGGGCCGGGTCGGTCTCGCGGCGGGAGGGGTCACAGGCCGCTGTTCCAGCGCAGCCTCGTCCTCTTCAGCCGGAAGGACACGCGTCCGGGAAATGGAGGGGGAAGAGGCGGGGGGCGAGGGGAAGAGGAGGAGGAAAAGGAGGAGGAGTAGGAGTAGGAGGAGGAGGAGGAGGGGGAGGAGGAGGAGGAGGAGGGAGGAGGAGGATGGAGGAGGAGAGGAGGAGGAGGAGGAGGAGGAGGAGGACGAGGAGAGGAGGAGGAGGAGGAGGAAGGAGGAAGGAGAGTGGAGGAGGAGGAGAAGGAGGAGGAGGAGGAGGAGGAGAGGAGGAGGACGACAAGAACGATGAGGCGGGGGAGGACGGGAAGGAGGATGATGAGGAGGTGGAGGATGATGGGGAAGAGGAATGGGGGGAGAACCACGAAGTTGAGGGGCGCCATGACGATGAGGCGGGGGAGGAGCACTAGGAGGAGGAGGAGGAGGAGGAGGAGGAGGAGGAGGAGGAGGAGGAGGAGGAGGAGGGAGAGGAGCAGGGATGATGTTGGTGATGGTGGTGGTGATTCAGATATTGACGACGTTGATCATGATTATGTTCGTAACGTTGGAGCTGCTGCTGCTGCTGCTGCTGCTGCTGATGATGATGATGATGATGATGAGATGATGATGATGATGATGATGATGATGATGATGATGATGATGATGATGATGATGATGATGATGATGATGATGATGATGATGATGATGATGATGATGATGATGATGATGATGATGATGATGATGATGATGATGATGATGATGATGATGATGATGATGATGATGATTGGAGAATGAGGTCTCTGAATGTTACTTAATGTGAAGTGAGTGCGATCTCCCCCTTCGTAGTTTTTTCTGGGCTCAAGACCCAGGCATCATGTTTTTCTTCTAACGAAGTCTTTGGGGCTTGGGCCCCCCAGCGTAGCACGAACATGGTTCTTTCTCCAGCACCCTCGGAGCCCCAGGGGCCTGTATCGCCGCCAGGAGGCCCAAGCAGATGGTGGGCGCTCGGCTGGGCAGGAGCGACAGTGCTGACGATCTGCTTCCTCGCCGATGGCGCCCTGAAGGCGGACTCAGGCCGCGCTGCCGTTCAACGCCTAGGGCTGGCCGTCCTCGCGGGCTCAGCGGGGAGCTGCCTCACGCTGTGGCGCGCGGGCCTGCTGGGGAGGTGCTGCCGTCGCCAGGACGACAGCGACGAGCTGGAGCGCCTGCGGAGCCAGCTGGCCGCGCTGCAGCTCGCCAAGCTCGAGCCGCCTGCCGCCCCGTCAGAAGGTGGCGAGCCGAGCGGCCCCGCAGCTGGCGCGGGCGGGGGCGGGGCTCTCGGCCTGCCGCCCCCGCCGCCTTTCGCCGTCGGGCCGCCGCCCACCGCCGCGCCAGGGCTGTGGGCGGCGCCTCCCTCAGGGGCGCCAGACGGCGGGCTCGCCGCCTTCCACGCCTTCGGCGCCGGAGGAGGTCTCGGAGGACCGATCTCATGCAGCCAGGGCGGGGCCCCCGCCGGTGCAGGCCCAGCCGCCGCGAGCGGCGTGGGCGTGGCAGGCGGACCCGCAGCTGGCACCGACGGCGCCGCCGACGCAGGAGGTCAGCCGGCAGGCGCGGAGGCGGCCGCGAGCCCGCCCCCATCGGGGGCAAGCGCCTGCGCCGCCGCCATCAGGGCAGAGCTCGAGAGCTACGCGGCCACGAGCTCGACCGACCCGTGGTGGGGCGCGCGCTTCTGGCAGAGGGTCCACCAGCGCGAGCAGGCGGGCTTGCTGGACGCGGGCGTGAAGGCGGCGCTGGTGGCGCGGGGCTACTCGGGAGAGGCGTCGATCGGGGCGCCAGACGTGGACAGCGTGAGGGCGGTGCTGAAGGGCTTCGAGACGGCGCCCGTGCAGTTCTCGGGCGGCTTCGTGGGCGGCGGGCTTGCGGCCTCGACCTCCGTTGAGGGCTGGGCCCATAGCCTGCCGCCCGACTTCAGACGAGCAGGTGGCGAGACCTATCGGAACATCAGAGCGTCAGGGTCTACGTCGGTGAGGAACTGGCTGACTGAGCAGCACGTGGGCTCCAAGCGAGGCGAGGAGTGGCAGTCCCTGTGGGCGACGGCCACCGCGGTGGACTTCGCGCTGGGCGACTGCAAGGGCGACGTGAGCCTCTACGCGAAGCTGAACTCAGACGATCAGGTGGAGGTCGCCCTGCGCCATCTCTCGGCCTACGTGTACGAGAGCCGCGCGCGTGACAGCGTGGGCGCGGCGCGTCTCCGCGCCGTGGTGGCGCCTGGCTCGGCGGTGGACATCGCGCCGAACTGGCTGATCTCCGAGGCGACGACGCACTCGAAGATGGAGCACCAGCGCGAGGAGCGCATCAGCTCGGAGATCAGGCGCCGCCAGCACACCAACAAGGGTGACTTCAAGGGCTCGAAGGGCACGCCCAAAGGGGGGGCTCCCCCCAAGGGCAAGTCGAGCCATTGACCCCCGCCGAGGACGGAGGTGCCTTGGCAGCCGGGGGCACCTCCGAGGCGAATTACTTTACGGTTGCGAAGTGGACGAGGAGACGGAGGCGTGTGGGTGCCAGTACATCGGGATGGAGCTGCAGGCCAGAGTGGGCCGCGGACGTGCTCACGACCACCGCCCTCTCGCCCGACGATAGCGAGGACCAGCCCCTTTCCCGACCTCGCCGACATTCACCTCCTACTTCAGGAGCGACGTGGCCTCCTCCCGTTGCCCCTGCTGCCCTGGCCGAGCACGCGACCAGCGTCGTCGTCGGGCAGGCTGCGACAGAGGGAGGCGAAGCGGCGAGATATACACAAGCTGGCCAACCAGGTGTTGGAGACCTGGAACCGAGTTCGCGCTGGAGGCTTGAAGCAGCAGGCGAGCCGCAACGTCGAGCGTCGAGATCTTGGAGCAAGCGACGGAGCGGCAGGACAAGCTCAACTCAGGGCGATCAGGTTGGCCCAGGAGTTTGTCAGCGCTCGCCGGCCAGGAATGGTGACAGGCGTGCGAGCTATCAGCGAGCTGCTCAAACTCAGCGAGGTCACCTACTCGGGGACCTGCAAGCGACAGGTGCACGCTACGTTCATTGCGGACCGCATCGACGAGGTGACCACCGAGCGGACCGTGGACATGCTGGAGGCCCTGCCGATTGCGGAGTCCCAGTTCTACGCTGAGGAGAGCAACGTGGTGGATTGGAGCGGCAAGAGCGAGCAGCTCCTGCGGGAGCTGGAGCAGCACTACGGCTTCTTGGGAGGCTCGCAGGAGGAGTGGGCCAAGTACTTATGCCGCCAGGACCTCCCACCACGTCTATGGACCTACATGCGCCGCGCCGACATTAAGGCCATCAGCGGCGTCAGCGCGGTCCCCAAGAAAGATCCCGAGAAGCTCAGAAAGTTGATCATGGCGGTCCCTGCGAACTACATTTGGTGTGATGTCCGTGCTCGAGAAGACCATGGTCTGGGCGGTGGAGGCGCTCTCTCTCAGATACGCGTGATGGAAGGCTCCCTGCACCTCGCCCGCTGCGACGAGTCGAATGCCTTCTCGTCGGTCGTGACCCCGTCGTGGTGGTGGCCCTGGATGGCTACTCCCGCGCTGCCCGCCGCCTTGGTGCGCAGCCAGCTCCCGCCGGAGCTAAAGGACGTCCCCGACTACGAGATGGTGTGCCCGTGCTACCAGCGGCTGCCGATGGGGAGCTCCCACTCTGTGCACATCCTGATGTCGATCAACGTGCGGAGCTTGGGCGAGACGCTGAATTTCAGCAGGGAGCTGGCCGAGTCCGAGCTGGCCAACTTCACGAAGCACGCGGACTTGACCGACGAGGTGGAGGTACACGACCAGGAGTGGGTTGACCTGCAGCGCAACCGGCGCAGCGCGGACCGACTCGAGTCGGGCTTCACGGTCGCAGAGTTCTGCGAGAAGGTGCGCTACTTTAAGAGGTCAGCTCAGAGGATCATGGTAGTGGTCCGCATCTTTGCAGGAGGCCGCCGCCTGGGTGACATCCAGGACCATGTTGGGACTTTCTGCCAGCAGCATGACATGCCCGTCTTCTTCTTTGGCGTCGACCTGGCTTTCGACGCGCGCTGGGACTTCACCGACCCGCGCGCCGTCGCGGCGCTCCTCGAGCTGGCGAACGAGGGCCTGCTGGATGTGGTGATGGGAGGGCCGCCCTGTGGCACCTGGAGCAGGCTGAGGCACCAGCCAGGCGGCCCCCCGCCGCTGCGACGACGCGACCACTTGCTGGGGCTGCCGTCGCTGAAGGATCATGAGAGGATGCGAGTAGTAGAGGCGAACGCTCTGCTTTTCAACTTCTTAGGTTTGTGCGAGGCTGTGCTGTTGCAGGGCGGGGCTTTTTTTGTTAGAGCACCCCGCGGACCCTGGCGATTTCCCCTTCCCTTCTGTTTTCGCCCTCGAAGGGGTGGAAGGTTTAGCTGAACGTGCTCAGGCCCAGGTTGTAACTCTAGATCAGCGCATGTGCGGGGGGGCGGCCCAAAAACCTACAGGTCTCCTTTCCAACCTCCTTGGGCTATCCGAAGGTTTGCTTCACTGTGACGGAAACCATGCTCACGACAATGTCCGAGGTAAGAATGATCAGGGAGTATTTGCGTCGCGACGACTTCAGAGTTATCCCTCAGGTCTGTGCCGTTTCTTCGGTTGGTGTATTACCCGTACTATTGCACTGATGCGTCTGGAATCAGGTGGACCTGGGGGTTGGAGACGCCCTTCTACAGCACGGCCGCGCACAAGCCAATGGAGTCGAGAAGCAGAGGGTCCGTTAGGAGGGAAGTTTGTCATGCTGAACGAGAAGTACTCCAAGAAGGGTCAGTGCAGTTTGGGGCCCGAGGACGTGGCGGCCTACGTGCACGTCGACGACGGCTTGGTGTTGACTGTGGGCCCCGCTTCAGAGGAGCCGAAGTGCGACGAGCTGATGCAGCAGGTCGCGGACGGCTGGGAGCGCGAGGGGTTTCTGGTCACCGAGCGGGTCGCGGCCGAGGACAACTTGAAGGCCGTGGGGTACCGCGTGCAGAGGTCGCCGCCCGCGCTGCGTTTCGACCCGCACAAGGGCTGGCTGCTGCGCGAGAG